GAACTGCTTTCAAGACAGAGTGAAGCTAACCCTTAGGGTATTTAGAGGAATATAAGAAAGTGCCTTTCAGAACAAAGCCTAGGGTGTCTAACCCAAGAGCATAGTGCCTTACAATGCCCTTGCAATCTGAAATGGAACTTTTCTTTATAATAGTGCAATAGGTCAGTCTTAACAAAGTGGCCAAAAAAAAAAAAAAGGCATTACGAAAGCCGAGAACAAGAGACGATGCAATTTTGCAGGGGCCATTTTATATGCCTCTATAAGCATTTAGAAATGATTGCTATGGAGACAGTTCAAATGATCTCGTTGTAACCACACAATTTGCATATGCAATCTGTTGCTCTCCGTTAGCCACCTGGATAGGTTACCTGGTTTCTGTCTAAGTGGTTTTGCTTTCAGTTCTTCTCCTTTTAACCAAACTTGCCTAGGGCAATAGAGGCAATGTGCAGACCTAGATCTACATAGAGCCCCCAGTTGAATTTAAGAAGCCTCCTGAAGCAAGCATTTAAGGCTTATCTGCCTCTTCCTGGACAGACTGTCCATTCAGAGAAAAAGAGAAAGGAAGAGAGAGAGAAGGGGGATGGCAGAAATGGGTGACCTCATCTACTTTTGATTCAGGTCATACCCATCTCTTTTCAACCACACTCCAGGTTGGCCGGTAATCTGGTGCTGTGCAGATTATCCTTAAGGGCATGGAATTCCAGCTGTGAAGGAGAAGATTGTGCTCCATACAGCAGGAGACATGGACAACCAGAGTGTAACCTGAACCTGGAAGACTCTTACCTTTTGTGTACTGTATAACCAAGACTTGAGAAGTGGAATAACCCTTCAGCAGAAAAAAAAAAAAAGTGCCATCTATCAAACCTGAGCAAATGAACTTTAGGGTTGGTTTCTTTGTTTGTTTGTTTAATGAAAGACATCAAGAAAGTATGGGATAAGCAGAGAGAAAAGAAAACGTTCGCTTTTATTGTGAGGCCAAAACCTCTGCCAGCCATCACTCTGGAAAATAAAAACAGTGTGTGACAGGCAATAACCTGTTTCAGCAGCCTTTCTAATGAAGCTGAGATCACTCTTCAGATCTCCCATTTTTCTTCTCCTTTCTGAGACACGGCTGCTTCCAATCTGTAGTAGATCTGCCTCCCCTCACCCCCATGTTAAGCTCAAGTTATTTGTGTATTTTAGGGAGGAGGGAGGAGGAGTTGAGCTCTGATTCACTCACGTTGCAAGGACAGCAATGAAAGATAAATCAATGTACTGAGCAGCTACGACTGTGCGTGCATGGGTCTACACTGGGCGGGTTTGGGTGTGAAAGAGAAAACAAAACAGATGGGACTCTTTTCAGGCACAGAAAAAGTAAATACTAGTACACTGATCTCAACATACAGCTTTTTTTAGAATCTCCATTTCCAGCCTACAGTTTACATGAGTTTCTGACCCTTATGATGAAGCTATATTGGAGGAGTCCAACCATCAGTTTATGCAATCTCAGGCTACAGGAACTATCCAATCAAGTTTTCAGAAATGAGATCATTGTATCGAAATAACATATTAGTTTCTACCAATGTCACTCATTTTTCATTATTCTATATATTTTTTTCAGATTTTATTAGCACTGCTTTATTTTTGGTTGTACTTCATCATATCTTCTGGTTGTTATACTTATCTATCTATCTATCTATCTATCTATCTATCTTTCTATCTATCTTTCTATCTATCTTCTATCTATCTATCTGTGTTTTCAGACATTTTATTAGGAATAAGTTTTTCCCTTCATTCCATAACTTTTTTCTCATCCCCATAATCAATCCCTGCCATTGGTTTTCCAAATCCCTTTAAAACCCCCAAAGTTAGTGACCATCACTACTTCTTGTAGCAGTGAGTTCCGCAGGTGAATTACACATTCAACAACTAGTTAATAATTAATTACACCTTCAAGCATTCCACAAAGGCTCACTCATGTTCATTCTGATAAATAGCCTTTAGCACAGCAGGCACACAGGTTTCCTTTGGTGAAGTAGTAAAACAAAGGGGAAAATGTGACATACGCTGATGGTGCATTTTGCTATTTACTGGAGGTATTTAGGAAGTGACTGGATAACCTCCAGATCTTCTTCCATTTTGCTTCTGTGAACTCTATCAATTCTACTTTTTTTTTTCTTCAAATGCCACATAAACTACTCAGAAACTGAGTGAGTGTTCTTGAATTTGAGAAAGCTTTTTCCTCAATAGAAATGCTTCACTTCATGTTGTGCTTACGGCGTTCATGTGTGCTTATGTAAAAATGGCCCTTCACAATGATAAGCCAGTGAAACCAATGCTTCAGATGGGGCAATATCAATACCCACAGTGACATTATTCTGAAATGATTTTTTTAAAAATGTAAAAATACTATTTCCCAACAAGAGGAGAGAAAAGCAGCAATCCAGATCACATTAGGACATTCACCGATGGAAACAATCCTGCAGGACTCTAGTGTAAATTGTTCCCATTACCGAAAATGGCTTTGTTTTGTGTTTAATGGCAAATGTATCCTCGTGATTCAGAGATATACCTACACCCTCAGAATACACCAAGATTCTCAGAAATTTCACTATGCAAGCTGATATCCCCTTATTTATTTATTTACAGGCCAAAGAAAGTAAGTTAAATACAGTGATCAAGTTAAAACAGACTCATTAAAAAAAAGTGGAGGGAGGGGGAGGAAACGTAAAGAAATTATAAAGCCAGATATAAATTTGACACTTTCTGATAGCAATCTGGCTGAACAGAACTTAGTTTCTTTCCTGAAAATATCAGTGACCCAAACTGCTAAAAATGCATTAATTCCTCTTCAGGCCAGTGCAAATACTTAGTAAGGAGGTATTCTGTTAGCTCAAGAGAACCATTTATCCTAAAATAATCCTGTAAGAGTATTTGGTCTATGGTTGTGATTCTGTTTTGTTCTGCTTTGGAGAAACATCCCGGAGATTGAAAACAACCTGGGAAACTAAAATCCCAGAAAGGCACAAGGTAATCAGATGGTAATTCAATAAGGGTGGATGGAGAGGAAAGCAAATCAATTTTATCTTACTTTTTGTTCCAAACACCTGGGCCACCACAGACAAAGAGGTCTGTGCTGGAATTCTTTAAACAACTGACATGTCGTCAGGAAAAGCTATAACCATGACTTATTTGGTTCCAGCAAAGCAGCAGCTATCTTATTCTAATAACAGTATATAGCACCTTCAAAAAAATAAAAAAATAATAATATCATTATGATATGATCTACCACCAGCTAATCTATTTTTTCCCCCAAAGGCTGAAGCAATATAGCGCTTTAAAAAAAATCCACAAATGTCAACGTTCCTTCAGATATATAAATCTACAAATGACACAGCCCAAAGTTGCAACCCATATGTGTGTGTGTGCTTAAGATACATGTGCAGAATAATCCGACTGCTCTCTTTAGATAACTCTGAGGTCAGGACCTTGAAGAAAACGACAGAACATCTCCTGAACCCCACTGAGCAAAAGAGCCCTCTTCACTCAACTAATATGGGACAGCCACACAAGCAATAGATAAATCGCAGGGCCTGAAAGAAGGTCTTATAAAGCAAGCAGTGGGGAAAAGTGAGTGAGGTCACACTAACAAGTTAGCTGTGACCCAAGTAGTCCTGAAGCCCAGGAAGATAGTTATGCAGTGCAAGAAAACTTTTTCCAAGGGGCTGAGCTTCAAAAGAATCCAACTTTTAAACTGGTGCGTGCTTCTCATATTCTTGCTCTCTTCAAGAAGAACCAAGTTCGAACTAAGTCCATATGCATTTCTCACTCCTGACATATAAAGAAGCCCCTGGACATCTTGTCCTTCTTTGTGATAAAGCCAAGATGTACAGATAAATTCATAAGCTGAAGCTACCCAGCCAATTTGCAATGCAATACTGTTCATCCTTTTTTTTTTTTTTGTCTGTTGTCCCCCAGTATCAAAATGAATGGGTCAGGGGGAGGGAGAGAGAAAATTTTTCAATTTTATATATATTCATATATGCAAGTCTCATAACAAACAAACAAACAAACAAACAAACAAAAATCAGATGATCTATTTGCTAGAAAAGCAAGGTAGGCAATGAACAAAGAATAAAGCTCCAAGCTGTGAATAATACTTTTATAAACTGGCTGTGAGAAGCTACTTCTGTTCTGAACTGGATAATAAATTTGCTGCTAAAGCTTTTGGGTCCTCTAAAAAAAAGTAGTGATTTTTTAGAAAACAATTCAATAAACCTTGCTAATTGCTTAAGAGATGCTTTGACTCCAATGTTTTCCACAACACAGAAGTGTTTTTGCAGAGTGCCAGCCTGTTAAATACCCTGTTTTTTCTTTTTCTTTTTCTTTTTCTTTTTCTTTTTCTTTTTCTTTTTCTTTTTCTTTTTCTTTTTCTTTTTCTTTTTCTTTCCTTTTTCTTTTTAAGTACAGGAGCATCACTGGCTTCTGATTTCTGAAATCCTGAAGAAAAAGGCTAGAGGAAGGTCAAGTGATGAATAAGAAGTCAACCTGGGAGATGTAATAATGCTGGAAAGGTGACTGAAGTCATGTCCCCACTTGCCTTTTCACACAGCAGAATCTTGCCTTGACAACTCCAATCTTCCCCCCAATATTATTCCAGCCCATAAAAGAAACAGTTGTTCTTAGGTGCATTACAGGTAAATGTCATTTATTGACCGCAATTGGGACTGGCAACTTGGTCGTTAAGCAAAACGGTCACTAAGTGAAACCGCAACTGTTCTTATAATCTTACTTCAGCTTTCCTTTGCTTTACAGCATCAGAAGGATATGACCCCAAACAGCTGGGTGAGCCCAAACAGTGGGGAAGGTTTCCAGAACTTGACTCACAAGGAGGCTGGGTAAAAGGGCAAATCTTATAGCCCTTTTTCCCCACTCCCCTGCCCTTGGGAATGCTCACCCCAGCGCTGGGATAATTAGCAAGAAAGGAATTCCTGTTTGTACTTACATTTATTGGAGAGGAAGGGATTACAAGACAATAAGCAAGCACACAATGGGGAATACACATCGAAAGGAATGCGCTAGCGCTGGCTGTTTAACTAGCTCACTTGCATCTCTGAGCCACTTAGGAGGTAAACAAAAGCCTTTAGTGTGAAACTGGTCTTGTCAGTGTCAGGGAGCAGCAGGGCCCAGCAAAGGGTTCTGATCAATTAATCAAGGTCACATAGCTGAGCTTGTTCACTTGCCCTTATCACTTTTTAGGGAAGTGCTGAGCTGCGGAGAAAAGCAGCTCAAGAAGAGATTGCTTGTTTATCTCTCTGCTCTGCAAGGAGGGTGAAAAACGAGTCAGACACAGGACAAAGCATACTAACTGAGTTTAATGGTGAACACGTGACTAAGAGAGAGAGACAGAGATGCTGTGAAGGTCATAAATGAAGCATTGGTCACAAAGTTACTTTTTCATCACCATCGTAACTCTGAACGGGCACTGTCCGAGGCAGTCACTAAACAAGGACTATCTGTATTCCATTGTAACAGTTTTCTGAAATGCATCATTAGAGTTAGATGCAGCAACTCACTTTTCCTCATTTCAGTGTTCAGAACATATTGAGGGGTATGGAACCCGTTTTTTTCTTGCTTATTGGCCAATTTTGGTCATTTCCTCCTCCCTCTCCATGAAGTAAGAGACCAGATTGTCAACAGCTAGTTAATTTCAGTTATAATGCTTTACAAGATCTAGTCACCGGCATGATCAGGACAAGACTGGCCTCCTTCCTCTCCAGGCTAATTTCTTCCCAGATGTTTCTTTACAGTATTTTTAAACTTGGGAGATGCCCAAACTGAATGTGAGAGGTGGAGCAGGCCAGCCAGCCTTGAACCAGGGTTGTGTAGTAGTTTAGTTGTTGGATCAGGACTGGGGAGACTCAGGCTGTTGTCTACCATCAGCCAAGTAACTCTTTCGATCTCAGATAATTCTCAAGGCTATTGTTACAGAGAAGACTAAGAGCTGAGAGAGCATTGCCCAGAGCTCCTTATGAAAAAGTGGGGTATATCTAGCAAAGAAATACATAAATTAGGGATGCCCAGGCAGAATCCCAAAGTCAACCCCATTCAATTCCTGTTGTGGTGCTTGGATGAGTGGATATTTTCCCTACTAATTGGTGATGGGTGAAGAAGAGCAGCAACAAAGCCATAAGAGACCATAATTACTTTAATTATAACAAATGGCACATAAATAGATCAGGACAATACCATTCAGCAGTGACTGGAACTGATGCAACTGAGACAGGCCTCGTATTGTGCTGCCATTGTTTTATGCCACTTCAAAATGGGTGGACACCATTTTAATTCAGGAATGGAAAAATGATGTTAATCACTAACTGGTGGCAACAATGGTTAAGATATGGGAACCTAAATCATCCCTTTTTCAAATACCTCTGTGACTTTGATTTCTTTCTGCCTTGCCTCTTTACACTGGGAGGGTGGGCATTAGAGCAGTGGGGATTGTAAAACAGACCAAATGTGTAGCTTTCAGACTAGGTTCTGGCCCTTAGTATTTGTGTGCATATTGCAATACAATGGAGCCTCAACTGAATTATAGCTGATATTCCAGATGATCACTGGACGACTGATGAGAAAGAACATGAAATAACCCATCTGTGTTGTTTCACCATTTCAAATTAGGTACCTTAAGAACTGGAAAATAAATATGCATAGCAGAGACATAGACGAGAAAATAGGACTATCAAACACAAAGCGGGCATTATTAACTTTTACGTTAGTGAAATAAACATATGGAGCTGTCAGAGATTGAAAATCCACATTAAAAATAAATTCCTCAAGATAATTATCTCTCCAAAGAAACCAACATTATTTTTTTGCATTTACATCTAGCCATATTTTACAAAGATGAAATTGCCTGAGGCTCCTCATACGGAAGGGGGCCCATCCAAAATCTGGATCCATTTTTGAAATGATCAGATGAATAATTTTTTTAAGTCAATAAAGCTATTAAGTTAAAATATAATTCCTAAATTTTATTTTCTGCCACCAAAAATGTGGAGGGGGGGGGGGAGAGATTACATTGGCATTGAAATAAACCTTCTGCTCCTAGCTCTTAAAAAGACTCTGATTACATCTGAGTAACTTGTAGGTTTCTATCATGCACCACCACTAAGCTATGGCCAATGAAAGGCAACAACAGAAGATAGGCCAAGAAGACTGGCTTGTGTGACAATGCAAGCTTTCGAAGTCAGATAGACAATCAAGTCTGAGCAACAAAAGAACTTGGCTTATAATTACTGGCTGCCGCAGCCTTGCCTTGGCACTTCAAGTCCTGTCTGAATACAGACAAGCTTGTGGCGTATTATGTCAGTGTGTGCAGGAGTAAAGAACTAAATTAAAGAGGAAAGTTTCTCCTGAAGGCAAAGTTCATGTGCTCTGTGCAGCAGTACATTTGCTCATCGTTTCATGATCAAACAACAGCAGTAGTGCTGCAGTGCAGAGATGGTACTCTTTTAATAGCACAGAAACTCTTGTTTTTCAGCAAACAAGCCCAAAACAACTAAAAGGGCAACCTATGGGAAGAGAAGAAAGGCTATCCAAATAAGTTATTTCCATATTTGTTGTAGTTGTTCCTTTATTTATGTCTCATCTTCAGAACAAAACCCTTCTCACCCGTCCTGTTCCCTCATTCCAAGACTTTAAGAAGAAATACATCACAAAGAAAGAAAGAAGGTCTTTCCTGGGATAAGGTAGTTCTAAAAGCCAGGAGAAGACGCCTGGAATCTCCTAACTGTGTTCACTGTAATCTCACCATTCAAACTGTAGCAGCACGCAAGGGAGCTAAGAAAAGCAGCAAGAATTCAGGAAAGCAGGATTGCATTTGATCTGTATTCAACTCACTTGCCTTTGGAGAGCTGGCTTTAGTGGTGTTCTCCTCTTCTACAGATACAGTCAAGAGTGACACTGGCATCTTTCTAAACCGACTTGAGGAATGAAGGCCATGTAACTCTTCTGCATCGTGGCATCATCAGTTCTCCTGAAGCTCTCATCTGTAGCACAGAAAACCATCATTGCATTTTTATTTTTTAATTTTTTTTTGAGCATCTGCAACAATTGTTTCAAGAAATGAAGATTCTGGCCCAATCCACTGGCCCAGTAACAAGTGGGCGATTGCCTCCGCAATAACTGTATTCAATACCCAGGCTGAGTGCAGGTAGGTGGGGATACTGGATTTTGCCCTTGTTAGGCTTCTGTTTTAGTCCTGACACTTGGTAAAATGTCTGTAGAACAATTAGCCTCTGAGTGTGCAGGGAATGGGGGGGGGGGGGGGAATAATCCAAATCAGCCTTCCTGATCACTGGCCTTCATACCACAGCTGAGTTCTGCCAGTCTCTTTCACTTCCTACAACCAAGGTCAGCAATCTGAAGACCCAGGCCCATGTATGGTGCTTAAACTCTTTTTTTGCAGTTCCCCTCCCCAAAACCGTCTCTGACCACAGTTGCTGAGAATCGACAATACAGTTCCCTACTATTTTGATAGAGTGTAATGTAAAAGCTCTAAAATAGGATTAAATATTTGAGGAGAAAACAACCCTCTCCAAATTGGAAATTTACCATTTGGAAAATCCTGGCTCCCCCCCCCCCCCCC